TCTAAGCCACCCCATTTTTGACCAGGTATTACACGCAAAACGGGCGCGTGAAGAGGTGAAAAATGAAAATCTAAAATTTTATTTGAACGGTGTAGATTCGAGCAAGTTGATCCAAAGGTCTAAATTTTTTTTCTTTTTATCCTTTTTTTCTTTTACCAGTACATACAGAAAAAAAAGAAAAAAATCGCTAATGCTAAAACCTTCGTCCCCAACCTCCCTACTCATTGGTCTTATTCCCAGAATATACTTCACCCAAGCACTCCGGTAGATTCAAGTAGGAATAAAAAAGAAATAATCTTTAGATTTAATATCTCCACCCGTGCTTTTCTCCATAGCCATGGAGTTATCAGTGAAACCTTATCTTTTTCTGTCTTTTATCAACCGAAAATGAAGTTCTGCTTGAAACTCCGGCCGGTGAAATAGTTTAAATTCTGCTTCAAGTTGAAAAATAAAGAAGTTAATACAGTTGGGTGCTTCATTAATATGAATATGGCAGTGGCACAAGAAGAGATTAATGGGTTTCTTCTTGTGGGTTCTATCTGCCATGGCTGCTAAGGTTTTAGAGGAAGAATGATTGTACACTTCCACTACAACTTAATTGGTGCAAAATCAATAATCCATTTCATATATCAATCAAAGAAATTCTGGGTTTTTCTTAAAGAATGGGAGAAGTAAGGTGTTTTATGGGAATGCTCTGATTAATCAGAGAGGAAAGTGGTGGACGGTGGGGGAGGGGGGGGGGGGGGGAGGGAAAGTAAGAGATGAGTGGGGTGGGGTTTGTTTTTTGATTTCTTTTTCTTGTTTAAAAATTAGTATCAATTGGGATGCAAATTATGCAATTTTTTTCCTTGAGTTATGACACCTGTCACGATTTAATTAGCGCGTGTGATGCAATTTCTGAGATGAAGTGGTCAAACACAAAAAAGGTGTGTCTTAGGCACACTTCGGAAAGGTTGAGTGTGTAAGGTAATTTTGGTCCGCAAAAAGTGTGTAAGAGGGATTTGGTCCATAGGTCAGGGGGGAATAATTATATATTTGGGCTCGTGGGTGAATGAGTGATTTGATTTTGGTCCGAACCTCGTGTTTTGACCAAGCGGGCCCGGGGTCGATTTTTGGGTTTTTGGGAAGAATGATTAGAAAGCTATAATTAAGCATTGGAATTTTTGTTTAGCATTTATTGATGTTATTGAATCGATTATGCATAAATACAATCGATTTGGAGCCGAATTCGAAAGGAAAGGTGGTGCTTGAGGCTTGAGTTGGCCGTGGAAGTTCGAGGTAAGTGTTTGGCCTAACCTTAGCTTGAGGGATTAGGAGTGTGTCCTATTTGCTATTTGTTTTCTCATTGAGTACGACGTATAGGCATGGTGACGAGTATCTATACGTTGGTGTCGAGCATGACCGTGGGTCTTATATTGTGATTTTTATGACTTCGTTGTATTATTCATACCTTGGTGAAGATTTCTAATTGTGGTGCACAGTTGTGAAAAGAATTGTGACCTATGAATGTTGAGGAGCGTTGGCTCCAGTTGTATAACGAATTGTGAAAGTATAAGTGATAATTGAACCTCTAGAGCAATGGCTCGAGTGATAAAGTGAATTGTGAAGTAAAAGTGAGAAAAAGAAGAGATCATTATGTTGCCCCCTTGCCGGGCTACTGTTGAGTTGTGGTTCCCTTGTATTGTGTTCTTAATTGATATTATGGATACTTAGGTTGATGATTCTTTGTGTTAGGTAAGGATTATGGTTATAGCTGAGGTAGTTAGATGTTGGAACAAGTTTGGGTATAGCTGAGGTAGATAGGTGTTGTAGCAAGTTTGGGTATAGTTGAGGTAGTTAGATGTTGGAACAAGTTTGGGTATAGCTGAGGTAGATAGGTGTTATAACAAGTTTGGGTATAGCTGAGGTAGTTAGGTGTTGTGACAAGTTTGGGTATAGCTGAGGTAGATAGGTGTGGTAACACGTTTGGTTATAGCTGAGGCAGTTAGATGTTGGAACAAGTTTGGTTACAGTTGTTTCTTTTCCCTTGCCGGGATAGTGTAGACCTTTTGATCCCTTCTTGGGACTCTCGTTATAATTGTAAATATTATATATATGGATCGGGTTGCACGCCGCAACAATATTATATATATGGATCGGGTTGCACGCCGCAATAATATTTTATATGGATCGGGTTGCACGCCGCAACAATATTATATGGGAGCGGGTGGTACGCCACCACGAGATATAATGAAATGGGAGCGGGTGGTACGCCTACCACGAGGTATAATGAAATGGGAGCGAGTATTACGCCTACCGGGAGATATAATGAAATGGGAGCGGGTGTACCACGAAGTATAATGAAATGGGAGCGGGTGGTACGCCTACCACGAGATATAGGAAATGGGATCGGGTTGCACGCCTGCAACAAGATGTCAAGAGAAAGTGAAATCTGCCTTTGTTTTCCTTAATAATTCTCTTGATATTCTGTTTTTACTTGTTATTCCCTGAAGCATGTTTCCCCCTCCCATCTTTATTTGTTTACCTCTGCTTTACTTTCCGCTGTATATTATACAACTGTGGTTTATTTGGTAGTCTGGTCCTAGCCTCGTCACTACTACACCGAGGTTAGGCTAGGCACTTACCAGCACATGGGGTCGGTTGTGCTGATACTACACTCTGCACTCTTTTGTGCAGACCCAGTGTTGTAGACTTCGGACCGTAGGTTGGAGGCTATTTTCAGTTCACGCGGAGATCCAAGGTAGACCTGCAGGCGTCCGCAGGCCCTGACGTTTCCTCTATCCTTATTTCCTGTTTCATTTTTCCTTATATTCAGAAACAGTGTATTGATATTTTCTTCAGACTTTGTATGTAGTAAATCTTAGACCGTCTGTGATACTGTGACACCAGTTCTGGGTAGTCGAGGTTCAAACAGTTGTATTAGAAATTCGTGTTCAAATAGCTTATGGCTCCTTTCTTCCGCTTATGTTAAATTCCGTTGTTTAAATGTTATTATTACTATTAAAATTGCTAATGAATACAAAATGAGTAAAAATGGTAAATTGTGAAATTAGTTGGCTTGCCTAGCTCGTACTAGTAGGCGCCATCACGACTCCCGAGGGTGGGAATCCGGGTCGTGACACCACCACCCGCCATTATTAACTATAACCACCCGCCACCACCATCCTCAATCATAATTGCCACCACTACCAATCACTACTAGCTACTAGCATGAACCACCATCATCAACCCAAACTATCACCAACCACCGCCTTTAGTCGGCATTCACCCGTTAGCCATCATCACCAGCAACTAACATATTTTAAAAAACTATATATTTTATTGATAGAATATTAGATTAGTTGGTATTTCATTTGAATTTTATGTTTATTAATTTTCAAATAAAGATAAATTTTATACATTCAGATGTTAAAAATCAAACAGTCTTAATTATTTCTATTCACATCTTAATACACATCTTGATATATTAAGACGTGTATGCGGATTCGTATATCTTAATCTTGATATAAATCTTAATATTCAAATATGTATTTAGATTCAGACGTCTTAATGTTAAAAAAATAAAAAAACAAATGAGGACTAACTATTTTTGCGTACAATTTAGTATTTTAGCCTTTTGCCAAAGCAAATTGGTCACAATAAGAGGTAATAATGATCTTCATTTCCCCTTCCGACGAACGGAACTTCATTGCCGGGCTTCAGCTTCGTCCGAGAAAAAAATCCTAACAGTGCCAATTCGCCCTTCCAATTTTTTTTGGTTAGACTTTAACTAATCTAATGATAATCTTTATTATTTTGAGTGTTATATATATATATATATATATATATATATATATATATATATATATATATATATATATA